ACCCGATCTGCAGCTCTACCCGACCTGCAGCTCTACCCGATCTGCAGCTCTACCCGATCTGCAGCTCTACCCGATCTGCAGCTCTACCCGATCTGCAGCTCTACCCGATCTGCAGCTCTACCCGACCTGCAGCTCTACCCGATCTGCAGCTCTACCCGATCTGCAGCTCTACCCGACCTGCAGCTCTACCCGATCTGCAGCTCTACCCGATCTGCAGCTCTACCCGACCTGCAGCTCTACCCGATCTGCAGCTCTACCCGACCTGCAGCTCTACCCGATCTGCAGCTCTACCCGATCTGCAGCTCTACCCGACCTGCAGCTCTACCCGATCTGCAGCTCTACCCGATCTGCAGCTCTACCCGATCTGCTAGCTCTACCCGATCTGCAGCTCTACCCGATCTGCAGCTCTACCCGACCTGCAGCTCTACCCGACCTGCAGCTCTACCCGATCTGCAGCTCTACCCGATCTGCAGCTCTACCCGACCTGCAGCTCTACCCGACCTGCAGCTCTCTACCCGACCTTGCAAGCTCTACCCGACCTGCAGCTCTACCGACCTGCAGCTCTACCCGACTCGCAGCTCTACCCGACATCTGCAGCTCTACCCGACCTGCAGCTCTACCCGATCTGCAGCTCTACCCGACCTGCAGCTCTACCCGACCTGCAGCTCTACCCGATCTGCAGCTCTACCCGATCTGCAGCTCTACCCGATCTGCAGCTCTACCCGATCTGCAGCTAAGTAATTAACACAATTATTTGAACCTAAGTGGAAACGTGTCCACCTCAATGGCTGGCATACTAAACACCAGTAGTGCAGCTGTTGTTCTGTTCTTCACAGATCACTCGTTTCTTGGTCATCCGTTGTCTCCCTTTTAAATGTGGGTTGTCTTGACCTCTGTGCTGACCCCCACCATAGATCCACTGGCCCTTCAGCATTGAAGTCTTGACCTCTGTGCTGACCCCCACCATAGATCCACTGGCCCTTCAGCATTGAAGTCTTGACCTCTGTGCTGACCCCCACCACAGATCCACTGGCCCTTCAGCATTGAAGTCTTGACCTCTGTGCTGACCCCCACCACAGATCCACTGGCCCTTCAGCATTGAAGTCTTGACCTCTGTGCTGACCCCCACCATAGATCCACTGGCCCTTCAGCATTGAAGTCTTGACCTCTGTGCTGACCCCCACCATAGATCCACTGGCCCTTCAGCATTGAAGTCTTGACCTCTGTGCTGACCCCCACCAAAGATCCACTGGCCCTTCAGCATTGAAGTCTTGACCTCTGTGCTGACCCCCACCATAGATCCACTGGCCCTTCAGCATTGAAGTCTTGACCTCTGTGCTGACCCCCACCATAGATCCACTGGCCCTTCAGCATTGAAGTCTTGACCTCTGTGCTGACCCCCACCATAGATCCACTGGCCCTTCAGCATTGAAGTCTTGACCTCTGTGCTGACCCCCACCATAGATCCACTGGCCCTTCAGCATTGAAGTCTTGACCTCTGTGCTGACCCCCACCATAGATCCACTGGCCCTTCAGCATTGAAGTCTTGACCTCTGTGCTGACCCCCACCATAGATCCACTGGCCCTTCAGCATTGAAGTCTTGACCTCTGTGCTGACCCCCACCACAGATCCACTGGCCCTTCAGCATTGAAGTCTTGACCTCTGTGCTGACCCCCACCATAGATCCACTGGCCCTTCAGCATTGAAGTCTTGACCTCTGTGCTGACCCCCACCATAGATCCACTGGCCCTTCAGCATTGAAGTCTTGACCTCTGTGCTGACCCCCACCAAAGATCCACTGGCCCTTCAGCATTGAAGTCTTGACCTCTGTGCTGACCCCCACCATAGATCCACTGGCCCTTCAGCATTGAAGTCTTGACCTCTGTGCTGACCCCCCACCATAGATCCACTGGCCCTTCAGCATTGAAGTCTTGACCTCTGTGCTGACCCCCACCATAGATCCACTGGCCCTTCAGCATTGAAGTCTTGACCTCTGTGCTGACCCCCACCATAGATCCACTGGCCCTTCAGCATTGAAGTATTGACCTCTGTGCTGACCCCCACCATAGATCCACTGGCCCTTCAGCATTGAAGTCTTGACCTCTGTGCTGACCCCCACCAAAGATCCACTGGCCCTTCAGCATTGAAGTCTTGACCTCTGTGCTGACCCCCACCAAAGATCCACTGGCCCTTCAGCATTGAAGTCTTGACCTCTGTGCTGACCCCCCACCACAGATCCACTGGCCCTTCAGCATTGAAGTCTTGACCTCTGTGCTGACCCCCACCACAGATCCACTGGCCCTTCAGCATTGAAGTCTTGACCTCTGTGCTGACCCCCACCATAGATCCACTGGCCCTTCAGCATTGAAGTCTTGACCTCTGTGCTGACCCCCACCATAGATCCACTGGCCCTTCAGCATTGAAGTCTTGACCTCTGTGCTGACCCCCACCAAAGATCCACTGGCCCTTCAGCATTGAAGTCTTGACCTCTGTGCTGACCCCCACCATAGATCCACTGGCCCTTCAGCATTGAAGTCTTGACCTCTGTGCTGACCCCCACCATAGATCCACTGGCCCTTCAGCATTGAAGTCTTGACCTCTGTGCTGACCCCCACCATAGATCCACTGGCCCTTCAGCATTGAAGTCTTGACCTCTGTGCTGACCCCCACCATAGATCCACTGGCCCTTCAGCATTGAAGTCTTGACCTCTTTGCTGACCCCCACCATAGATCCACTGGCCCTTCAGCATTGAAGTCTTGACCTCTGTGCTGACCCCCACCATAGATCCACTGGCCCTTCAGCATTGAAGTCTTGACCTCTGTGCTGACCCCCACCACAGATCCACTGGCCCTTCAGCATTGAAGTCTTGACCTCTGTGCTGACCCCCACCATAGATCCACTGGCCCTTCAGCATTGAAGTCTTGACCTCTGTGCTGACCCCCACCATAGATCCACTGGCCCTTCAGCATTGAAGTCTTGACCTCTGTGCTGACCCCCACCAAAGATCCACTGGCCCTTCAGCATTGAAGTCTTGACCTCTGTGCTGACCCCCACCATAGATCCACTGGCCCTTCAGCATTGAAGTCTTGACCTCTGTGCTGACCCCCCACCATAGATCCACTGGCCCTTCAGCATTGAAGTCTTGACCTCTGTGCTGACCCCCACCATAGATCCACTGGCCCTTCAGCATTGAAGTCTTGACCTCTGTGCTGACCCCCACCATAGATCCACTGGCCCTTCAGCATTGAAGTCTTGACCTCTGTGCTGACCCCCACCATAGATCCACTGGCCCTTCAGCATTGAAGTCTTGACCTCTGTGCTGACCCCCACCAAAGATCCACTGGCCCTTCAGCATTGAAGTCTTGACCTCTGTGCTGACCCCCACCAAAGATCCACTGGCCCTTCAGCATTGAAGTCTTGACCTCTGTGCTGACCCCCACCATAGATCCACTGGCCCTTCAGCATTGAAGTCTTGACCTCTGTGCTGACCCCCACCATAGATCCACTGGCCCTTCAGCATTGAAGTCTTGACCTTTGTGCTGACCCCCACCATAGATCCACTGGCCCTTCAGCATTGAAGTCTTGACCTCTGTGCTGACCCCCACCATAGATCCACTGGCCCTTCAGCATTGAAGTCTTGACCTCTGTGCTGACCCCCACCATAGATCCACTGGCCCTTCAGCATTGAAGTCTTGACCTCTGTGCTGACCCCCACCATAGATCCACTGGCCCTTCAGCATTGAAGTCTTGACCTCTGTGCTGACCCCCACCATAGATCCACTGGCCCTTCAGCGTTGAAGTCTTGACCTCTGTGCTGACCCCCACCATAGATCCACTGGCCCTTCAGCATTGAAGTCTTGACCTCTGTGCTGACCCCCACCATAGATCCACTGGCCCTTCAGCGTTGAAGTCTTGACCTCTGTGCTGACCCCCACCATAGATCCACTGGCCCTTCAGCGTTGAAGTCTTGGACTAATACATTTCTAATGTTAAATAAATGAAAACCATTCACAGTAAGAATTAGATATTAATTATTAATGCTGTAAATTACCTTTAATATGTCAAACTATATTTAAAATGTGTGACCTTTTTATAGAAGTGATTATATTTGTATGCCAATATGTTCCTATGGTAAAGTTTCGTTTAGCACTTTTATTTTGGTAGTAATTAGATCGGGACTCTTATTTTTGAAGGAACTTTTACCGGAAGTGAATGCACAGCGGAGCAGAATGTACAGACTTTACACATTTCCTCTTTGCTTTCGTTCGGGTTCATCTTGCGCTTCATCAGTTGAATCACTTTGAACATTGGTCTGAGATGTCGACGGGTTGGCCGAACTTTTTACTCCACAGTCAAACAACTTAATTTGCTTCGCCATTTTTTGTAAAACAAACACACGGCACACGGCACACCGCGCACCGCGCACGCGAGTAAACGTGCATCACTTTCTGGCCCCGTAATCACACCAATGCACGTGCAACTTAAGTATCTGGTCACAACAATAATTAAATATCACTCTTAAAACAACAGATAATTAGCATGCATCTCTTTTGGGGTGCACGTTTAGCTGTTTGCTGTCCTTATTTCTTTATGTTAAAAACGGGTTGCCAACCAAAGGCCAAGAAGTGGTTGACTTTTTTTCGAATGGTTGCCAATGGCAACCTGGCAACCGTTACTGTCGAGCCCTGCTCAAGCTGTAAAAAAGTAATGTAGTAAAATTACTTCTCTCCATTTAAAATGTAATACAATGAAAGTATAAAGTCTCACGTTTGATGACGGACAGCGCGCACCACTGGACCTTCTTCCAGCGGCTGTGGATCAGCCAGGTGTTCACCTTCTTCACCAGCTCAGCCAGGTGGTCCGGGTCCGACTTCATGATCGAATCAAACTCTTTAAACTGAGGGCAAACAACACAAAGAGAGTATGACGGATGGTATATCTGGTTTGCTTTTAACTCAAGTGGAGAGCTGTGTAGAAAACAAGATGGTGGGAGTGATTATGGATTTCTGCCTCTACACTTTCTGTATTAGCCTCAAGTTTAACCTGTTTTATTCTGTAACCTTTAACTGAAGTTATGTCTTCCTTTACTCAAACTGTAATTTAACTTTAAAGGTTAAACGTCTAGACACTTTCTTCCCCAGGTGGTCAGGGTCCGACTTCATGATCGAATCAAACTCTGCAAACTGAGGGAAAACGGGACAATTTCTATTTCTGGTTTGCTTTTCTGTACCTGTGTTTTTAACTCAAGTGGAGAGTGGTATAGAGCGGTGAAGGAAAGAGTCCTACAACCAGGAAGTGAGTCAGCATTTCACCACTTCCTGTTCCCTCGTCTCAGAGCCAATGGGATCTCTCCGTAGGGTTTGGAAAGTATCTGAACTAAGGTCTGTGGTTGAGACGCATTGAAGAGACGGATCACGTTTTGTTCTAGGACATTAAATCATCAGCAGTGACCCCACTGGTGATTTCTGAAGAGTTGACGTGTCTGAGAAACGATGGTTGTTACCAAGAAGCTGAATAGGACTACAGAAGTCGTGGAGGCCGTTGTACGTCATTACGCCGAACACGTGAACACTCCTCTAAGTTAGTTTCTGTTCTGCTTGAAAGCAAGTCCCTGCCTCCTGCAGAGTGTTCAAACAAACGCTTCAACTCGTTCCATCTAGAATCTGTGTGTTTGAATCTGGATCTGAAGTCGGCGTGACGTTGAAGTCGTGCTGCTGGACTCGCCTGTAGTTCCTTTATAGCATAACGTTAGCATTTAGCTTCTGGACATTAGATTTATGATTAGAACATTATGAAAGTAGACGTGTGGAGATGATCCGGCTGAACAAACAGGTTCGTTTTCCACAGACATTATTTCTTACAATATTCCAAAATCCCGTTTCTTTCTTGTCGAGGGAACCAGCAGCTTCCTTCCGGGTGAATACGTCACCCCTGCACCGCTCTATTGGCCTCGAGTTGAACCTGTTTTATTCTGTAACCTCTAACCTGTTATTGACCTTTAAAGGTTAGACGTCAAGACACTTCAGTCTATTTCTTGTTAACTAATCAAAATCTGTAACTAAAGGTATTAAATACATCTAGTGGACAACAAGTTACCTCTGAATTGTAGAGAAGTAGAAGTACACAGTAGCATAACATCAAAATACTAAGTAAAGTACCTCAACACTGAACTAAGTACAGTGAGTACATGTACGTAGTAGTAGATGCTAGCAGCCCGGAATCCACACTTTACATTAAATAAAGCAATCGTAATTCTTTCCAATTTGTTCTGTTTTCCACTTAGAAAATAGCAAAAAGATCATATAAAATATCGTTAAACACCGGATCGATAAGCAGTACGAGTAGTATTACCGTTGACATCTTAACGATACCCATCCCTAGTTTAATTAAGGATGCAGAAACACGCTAAATGGCTCAACTTCCAAAATGCCAATTAACAAACGTTTTATACGGTCTGTGATTTTCACTTCTTAAAGTGACCACTCGATAACTCCATCAAATATCAAGCTTCCCTTATCGCATAGATGCAACCGTACTATACATCCTACAGCTTTTGAAGTGCAGTGCAGCGAGAGGACAGTGAAGCAGAATCATGGCAGTTAATAATACATCATGAAGCCAAACTCTGTCCCCCGCGCTACAGCTGTGGTAACTTCTCAGAAACTACTGTCAAACTAATACAGATTAATATCTATGGTTTGGGGAAATCTATTCCATATTTCACTACGAGTGCGGCAGGAAGCGTTCATTTGAGACTCAGTTCCCTTCTTCCTTCATGCATCTTTCATAACAGAGTTCACAGCAGGCGAGAGATGTGTTGTGTTCGAGTCCTCTGGAAACCTCAGACTGATGACCCTCCGCTGCTGCTTTAATAATGAAGGAAGCAGCAGAGTTCATACCTTTAATATCCGAGGGCCGTGTCCCGTTGGCAGATTACCAAGAAATAACGTCACATGTCTCTGAATATTCTTTAATCTGCACAGCTTTCCCACTTCACAGTACATTAGGGCTGTACCCGAATACCCGAATACACGTTCGTTGGAGTACTATTCGGGTTTCAATTTCATTATTCAGTTATTTGTTTTTTTTCAAATTGAATTTATTGAAATCTCCAATATCAACGTAAGAGCTTGTGCCTCTTCGGGGGTGCTAACACTTAACCATAAACGTTATCGTTTACTTTCTCCGTCTTTATATGTAGATATTACTTTTCCGCGTTAATCTCCGTCACGTTGTTTCCATAGCAACAACAACTTCCTGTCAACAGCGCTAACTCTCCTTCAAAATAAAAGCATGTCCATAAATAGGAAGCCAAGCCAAATTACACTTAAGACAAATACAACTGCAACGAAAGTAACAAACACAATGCGATATATTTTTCTATTTCAAAGAACACAAATTGGGTTACATTAACAAATAACTATAAACAACAATACTGTAGAACAAAATGAATGCCGTGAATACACCGAAACACACGTGTTGAAGCGGTTCGCTGCTGATTACTACACCCCCCCCCCCCCCACGGTGGGCAGAATATTCGCTTTGACCCTAAGGGACATACACTCAGTACTGTGGACAGAGGCATGCTGACTGCCGTGGTCTAATTACTTTTTCAAGACATATCTTGATATTTTATAATAATTCTCTTAAGAATATGAGGATGAAACCCCCTTTTATTTGTCACACACATGTACAGTGACATTTAACCCATCCTAGTAATAGGAGCAATGGGCAGCTACTAGCAGCCCAGAATCCTTACACTACAATACTTATGTTAGCTTGTGCCAAAGGGGAATAAATAGAGGACGTTTAACAAAAAGGACTCACCTTCCCCGGCCGGAAAAACACTCGAGTCAGTCCGAACTTATAGTCGTTTTCATTCAGACCCAGAGCCATGAACAGAGCCTGGAACCAAGCAAAAGGAGCACATTAACATGGGGTAATATCATAATAAGAATAATTCATAATAAAAGTCAGAATTTTGAGAGAAAGTCGGAACTTCGAGAGAAAGTCGGAACTTCGAGAGAAAGTCGGAACTTCGAGAGAAAGTCTGAACTTTGAGAGAAAGTCGGAACTTTGAGAGAAAGTCAGAATTTGAGAGAAAGTCGGAACTTTGAGAGAAAGTCAGAATTTGAGAGAAAGTCAGAACTTCGAGAGAAAGTCGGAACTTTGAGAAAAGTCTGAACTTCGAGAGAAAGTCGGAACTTCGAGAGAAAGTCGGAACTTCGAGAGAAAGTCAGAATTTGAGAGAAAGTCGGAACTTTGAGAGAAAGTCAGAATTTGAGAGAAAGTCTGAACTTCGAGAGAAAGTCGGAACTTTGAGAGAAAGTCAGAACTTTGAGAAAAGTCTGAACTTCGAGAGAAAAGTCTGAACTTTGAGAAAAGTCAGAACTTTGAGAGAAAGTCAGAACTTTGAGAGAAAGTCAGAACTTTGAGAGAAAGTCAGAACTTTGAGAGAAAGTCAGAACTTTGAGAGAAAGTCAGAACTTTGAGAGAAAGTCGGAACTTTGAGAGAAAGTCGGAACTTTGAGAGAAAGTCTGATTACCTAGAACAGGGGTGCCCACACTTTTTCAGCTTGGGAGCTACTTTTAAAATGACCAAGCCAAAATGGTCTACCTACAGGGCCTCTGTGCAGCGAGCGTCGACGGGGGGGGGGGGGGGGGGGGTTGGTGTGTGGGTGCAGCGGCGGAGGAACTGTGGCGCGCTTACACCACTTGCGCCACATATTGCGTGATCTGCGTGTAGGGAGGGGCGGGCCTGTCTACCTACATTAAAATATTGATATATACTGAGTATAGCTTATGTTGGTGTACCTTGCATAACTGCATGAACCCGTATGGCACAATACAACTCAGTACATTTTTGGTCATTACATCAATTTGATACCCTTTCTTTAGTAGAATTGGATAAATTGGAAGGCTAACTATGTCATCAGCTCGCCGGTGATTAGCAGCTGGCGCGGTTGACCGTGCGTGGTGAACTCCGTGTTAGAAAAGATGAGACTCAGACTGGCTAACCTGCACGTCTATCAAGTGGCAAATGCCATAATTAGGGTGGATGATAGGCTAACTTTCTTCTTTTCTTCTTCCAATGCCATGCGATCTACCCACACTACCTTTACGATCAACGTATTGGGCAACCCTGACCTACAAGAACCGGTATTCCTCCATCTTGTGACTGTGTAACTCCCTCTCTTGGATATCAGCATGTGAATGACACTGTTCAGGAACTACTTGATGCTCTGTGTTAGGGAAATAATTGTCCTAGACTCCTAGATATGACGTGCATGACCAACCCTGACGTCTGCTATCTCCTTTAAGGAGATAAGCTGCTTTAGCCATAATGTTGTTGTTCCCATTCTATGACCGGGCAACCCTAGGTCACAGATGGTGTATTGTTGTGGGTACACTGAGACGCTTCCTTCTCGGTGTTTGTGGACTCCAAGGTGTGAAATCATCGAGGCCATAAGTGTCAGACGCAAGTAACTCACTGTTCCCAACTGTTTAGGCTATCTTCTCAAATATGTTGATTACTCTCTGCGAAACCAGTTAAATCGGCTGACGAGAGAGAGGCGCTCCAGAATTGACGTGGCAACTCTCCCGTGCAGTCAGATCGTGACTGCTGTGACTTGTGATGTGAATCCTCCGGCCGAACCTCCTAAATAAATCATCAGTGTTTGACATCAAAGCTCCTGCTCTTCCCGTGTCTCTTTCCTGAGTCGATGACTCCCACTGCATTGCTACACAGAAGTTTCCCTTACACTCTGTATGTGATGACTACTTCCGTTCTGGAGAGGATCACAGATACATGGATCCTGAGGATGAAGCTCAAGCCGGGGACCAGGGAGAGTTTTTAAACAGTATGTATGTTATGTCTGAATGTATACAAAAAAAGGATAATAAAAGCACCTTGCAGAAGAGTCGGGGGTCGAGGCGGCAGAGTTTGGGAGGCATGTACTGCTGGTACATGTTGTAGAGCTCGTGGAAAGGAGCGCGGGATGGAAAGCCTCCCTGCATCAGATCCAACACCGACACCATGCCTAGAGGAGAGGAGACACAGGAAGACGGTCTTTAGACAGGAAGCTACTTCAGGTCGACTTAGGCGTCTTTTATCCTGGGGACACTGGGACCCAACATTGCAGCTAAATGCTTCTTTAACTTAAAGCTCAGCTATCATGCTATTTGTAGGCAATAGCACAGGTCTCAGATATATACAAATATATAAAAAACATGTCTATGAAGTGTTTTGCACTTTTGAACACCAAACAGATCATTCTAGCCACGCCTCATATCCCTCTATCTCACTTCCTGTTTTTAAAGTGCTGATTTGGGTATAAAGCTTTAAAGAGGAGGGGTCTGAGCTCATGCGGGACCCGGAAGCTACCGTCTAAACTAAATGCTGCGGTGATGAAACGCCATATCATGGATTATCAAGGATTCTCTCTGAAACAGTCTGGAGCTCAAAGGCTTTCTCTCTTGCCGGTTATACCACAAGGTGAGTTCCTTTCTACTTCCTGCTTCTTCACACACATGCTCTCCAGCACAGGTTAGCTCTGAGTGTTAGTGATGCTAATGTAAACACCGACCATATTACGTCCAACACAGTCGGGCATTGTTTCTGATAGCAACGTTTCTGATTGGGCCGTGGGTCCACATTTCAGATATTACGTCATATCGGACGGAAATCTGGATCAGCTCCGTTGTTCCCCGTTTTTAGAGATTTGGGTACGGAGGAAAAGAGAGAGGGGTTTATTTCCTGACGCTGCGTGAGTTCCCCGACACACCGGGGACACATGTTGATGTAGAAAAGACATCACAAAGTGCATTTGGATGATAGGTCCCCTTTAAACATATATTCAAATATCCCTTCAAAACAAACAGCAGCTACAATTACAGGATAAATAGCAGATTAAATTAAACTCAACGTTAGCCACTATAAACTAAAGTCATACCTGAACAACAAAGGCTGCAGCAGCAAAACCCATGAGTTTATTTATGTTTTACTGCTTAAGAATTCATTGTTTTTGTTAAATAAAGAAATTGTTAATGCTTCCTTTGAAATGACATGGTGTGTGAGTTGTAAAGGATGTGTATGTAATTTCTCCCGTTTGTGATGGGCGCAAACTAACCCAGCTATTTATGTGCTAAAGACAGAGATTTGTAACTTAAAGGTCGCATGTCATGCTTTTCTGGTTCTTACCCGTCCCCTTGTGTTATGAAGGTTTGTCTGCATGTGAACGGTCTGCAGGGTCCCAAACCCTCAAAGTGCACCCTGTAGCGAGTAGAACTCTAACACACAGAAGACCCGTCTGTGCTGCCCCAGAACGCCACGTTGGACATTTCTCTTTTTTCTCCTGGGTACTCTGACGTGTGAGCACCCAGAGGCCGCACCCTCTGCCAGCCTTTCACGAAACAAAGCTTCCCAAACCTTTCAGTGATTCATGCCGGATATGTTCAGCGTAGGGCACGGAAGAACGATGCTGTTCCTACTTTGTTTGGACCAGCGGGAGATTCGGGTACACAACCTGTCAGTATTCATTGTTGTTTGTGTATTTATGATATTTAAAACAAACAAGGTATCTACCACGACTGTTTCAATGGGTAAACGTTTTTCGGGCTGCTACGTTGGGATCACGGAGAAATGCTCTCCGCAGACCCACAGCGCTATAAACCTTTTTCTTATTCAATATCAAGCCACACTTATTGTTTTTACTTCGGCTGTGAGTGTGTGTGTGTGCTCAGGATGAGTTTTGCTTGTTCTCGCTGTATCGCCGACACGTCGCGACCAATCAGAGCACAGTGGGCTCACAGGGAGGGGGGGGGCAGAAGCTCCAACGAGCCGTGTAGGACAGAGAGTGAATACACAGACTATACAGAGACGCTGTGAGAAACCAATGTGAGTTTGGAACGTTGAACAATGTGAATCTATTCTAGTAGACCTCAACTATGGAACTATGATCAGGAGAAATGGCCGTGACACGGGAGCTTTAAGATACCTGCAGTTTGCAATAAGAGGTATTTCGTTGACCATTGCAACCAACAGAGAAACACCACCTGAGACCAAAATCACCAAAAACTGTGACTCAAACTCCACTAAAAAGGTGAAACTGAGAAAGCCCTTTACGACTTTCTCAGTCTCACTCTGTGATATTAAAACGTTCCTCCTGTGTGTTCAGACAAAGCCTCCAGCTTCACATAACTCACATCAGACTCCTGCTGTAATCACGATGTTTCCCAGAGGACTCGGTTATCTGTGTGTCACTCCAGACATCTCATCTGAAAGTGAGTAGGTTCACCTTGGAGCGTTTTTGGGGACACGAAAACCAGATCTCAGTTATTCTCCATCACAAAGTTAGGAATCCCCACTTCAGGCGTACTTAGAAGATGGTAATACGGGCGGGTATTCGCTGTATTTTTGACTTATGGAAACAGCTTTGGTTTCATTCTAGTTGCGGTGATTTCAAATGTGATACTTAGATGAGCCACTAATCAGGAGCAAGTGCATCCAAATCAGACAGAATACAGTTCAGAAAGAGACAGGAAGGGCATTATTCTGTAGCTTCAATAAGGCTTTTCTGTAGGGTTTGGATCCAATCTAAACTATCCATTAGTCCCAGTCCAATACATGTGAAAATCAAATTTAATATGAGCCACTTATCTGGAATAAATGCATCGAAATCAGACAGAATATAGTTCAGAAAGAGACAGGAAGTGCACAGTTTGAAGTCTTTTCAAAGTAAATTGAAGATATTCCAAGTAGAAGATCTTAACTAATCTCTTTACAGAATGTTTTTCCACACAAATGAAAATAAATCTGTATAAATATCTCTCTTGGACAGCAGCAGAAGTGCCTTATTCTGTTTCTAAATAACGCTTTTCTGTAGGATTTAGATCCAATCTAAACTCCATTAGTCCCAGTCCAATGGAAGTGAAAATCAAAACTCATAAGAGCCACTAATCCGGAACAAAAGCATCGAAATCAGACAGAATACAGTTCAGAAAGAGACAGGAAGTGCACATTTTGAAGTCTTTTCAAAGTAAATTTAAGATATTCCAACTAGAGAATCTTAAATAATCCCTTTGATACAAATACATCCGTACACATCTCTCTTGGACAGCAACAGAAGTGCCTTATTCTGTTTCTAAATAACGCTTTTCTGTAGGATTTAGATCCAATCTAAACTATCCACTATTCCAAGTCCAATGAAAGTGAAAATCCATCGAAATCAGACAGAATATAGTTCAGAAAGAGACAGGAAGTTCTCAGTTTGAAGTCTTTTCAAAGTAAAGGAGCAGAAGTGCATTGTTCTGTATCTTTAACAGAGTTTCTCTGCAGGATTTAGAGTTGTTTTGGACACTGTGAACATCCCGCTTTGAAGGCAGCAGAGTTGCCCTCATCTAATCTCAACTCTCCACTATTCCCAGTCCAATAAAAGTGATGGAGCTGCAGAATCTGAGCGGGGCATCGTTGGGTTTCTTGTGGACGGAGGCTGAATCTCTGAGGATATTAAAACGGGATCTCATCATCTCTCTTCCTGCAAAACCTGAGGGGTCGCAGGCACTTTGATTTGGGGGAAAAGATCAAGACAATGGCTTTAAAAGTCACAAAAGTACATCTACGCGGAAACAGCCAGAGGAAGTAGTCTGGGTAACGCTTGTAAAGTGTTGAAGGACTCTTCCTTTTGCACATTTTGGTTATTTTGAGCTTTTCATGGATATTTTGGGGAAAAGTTTAAGAAAATGGCAAAACAATATCTACAAGGACGTTGTGACTGAAGCAGGGAAGGACTTAGTGTGGGTAACGCTTGTAAAGAATTCCACATTTGAGGATTGTGCGGAGATTTCTCTGCAGGTTTTTCTGCATGGCTTCAAAGTCTCAAAAGTAGCATCACAAGATCTTTAAACATCACTCCGGGACTTTATGGTTGGACAAAAAAGAGCATGTTGTCCAGTTAATGCTTGTAAAGCTGTAAATAATACCACCTTTCAGGATTTGGGGAGATTTCTCTAAATATTAAAAGTCCTTTTTTCCTTCAGGAACATTCCAGGAACTCAAATGATTCTTGATTTGGGGGAAAAGACAATGGCTTTAAAAGTCCCAAAAGTACATCTACACGGAAACACAAAGAGGAAGTAGTCTGGGTAACGCTTGTAAAGTGTTGAAGGACTCTTTGAGGATTTTGTTGAGGTTTCTGAGCTTGTTCTCCAAGTAAATGGCTCTGTGATTGGAAAATAAGAAGCATGTAGTCTGGGTAACGCTTGCAAAATCTCGATAGATTATTTTTCCATTAGCTTTTTCATGTTTAAGTCAGAAACCTTAACACAAGTTACTTGATTTCGGGGATAAGTTTAAGAAAGATTGCATTACAATATCTACAAGGACGTTGTGACTGAAGCAGGGAAGGACTTAGTGTGGCTTGTCAAGATGTAAGAATTCCACATTTGAGGATTGTGCGGAGATTTCTCTGCAGGTTTTCGTGTTTCAGACTGCAGGGACATTTCAGAAACCTCAATGCAAGCTTCTCGATTTGGGGGAAAGGTTTGAGAAAATGGCTTCAAAGTCACAAAAGTAGCATCACAAGGTCTTAAAATGTCACTCAAGGCCTCTGTAATTAGACAAGAACAAGCAAGGGAAATGTTGTAAAGTTTTTGAAGGACTCTTCATTTGGAGATTTTACATTTTGCGGCTTACATACTGAATACTGTGGACAATCCCCACAACGACATGCTGACTGCAGTGGGGTTTGAACCTGTGCTCCCCTGATCCCAACACCAACGCACTAACCCACTGCGCCACACGCCTCCCATACATTTCAGAAACCTTAACACAAGTTACTTGATTTCGGGGATAAGTTTAAGAAAAATGGCAAAACAATATCTACAAGGACGTTGTGACTGAAGCAGGGAAGGACTTAGTGGGTGTCGCTTGTAAATAATTCCACATTTGAGGAATGTGCGGAGATTTCTCTGCAGGTTTTTTCGTGTTGGAGCATTTCAGAAACCTCAATGCAAGCTTCTCCATTTCACAGAACATGGCTTTACAGTCACAAAAGTAGCATCACGAGCTCTTCCAAAGAGATGAATCTAAATCAGTCCACAGATGAGTTTGAGGTCTTAAAGTTAGGAGGTAATGTGTGTCGACTGACCGGAGCACTGCAGCTGAGAGAGGATCTGCGCTCCTTCAAACTGGTGGCTGATCATCTTCAGGTTGGGTTTAATGCAGCGGATGAAACTGGATCCCTGCAGCAAGAGAGAGGAAAACAATCAGAGCAGGAACAGCAGGGAGAACACACACTCTCACACTCTCACACACTCACAGATACAAAACACCGTGACTCAGGACATGATGCAGGAAGGTTTTGGTCCCGTGAAATACAGAAAGGTGTTTTACAGGAATCTCATCTGAACAGAAACATCGAATCATGCCGAGGAACACTCACCGTGCAGAAAGAGACACATTTTAAAGTCTTTTCAAAGTAAATGTAAGAAAAGACAAAGAAATCTGTTCAAATATCTCTTGGACATAAGTGCTTTATTCTGTGTCTTTAGTTTCTCTGCAGGATTTAGAGTTGTTTTGGCCACTGTGAACATCCATCGAAATCAGAATATAGTTCAGAAAGAGACAGGAAGTGCATATTTTGAAGTCTTTTCAAAGTAAATTGAAGATATTCCAAGTAGAAGATCTTAACTAATCTCTTCACAGAATGTTTTTCCACACAAATGAAAATAAATCTGTATAAACATCTCTCTCGGACAGCAGCAGAAGTGCCTTATTCTGTTTCTAAATAACGCTTTTCTGTAGGATTTAGATCCAATCTAAACTATCCACTATTCCAAGTCCAATGAAAGTGAAAATCCATCGAAATCAGACAGAATATAGTTCAGAAAGAGACAGGAAGCGCACAGTTTGAAGTCTTTTCAAAGTAAAGGAGCAGAAGTGCATTGTTCTGTATCTTTAACAGAGTTTTTCTGCAGGATTTAGAGTTGTTTTGGACACTGTGAACATCCCGCTTTGAAGGCAGCAGAGTTGCCCTCATCTAATCTCAACTCTCCACTATTCCCAGTCCAATAAAAGTGATGGAGCTGCAGAATCTGAATACAAAACACCGTGACTCAGGACATGAAGCAGGAAGGTTTTGGTCTCGTGAAATACAGAAAGGTGTTTTTTAGGAATCTCATCTGAACTGAAACATGGAATCATGCCGAGGAACACTCACCGTGTCGCGCAGCTTCTCCAGGAGGATGTTCAGCTGCGTCTGTGAATACAGAAGGAGAAGACGTGTGTTCAGTCCCCTATTCAACTATTTGACTTCTTGTGTTTTAATAAATATTGTATTTTGATCTTTTTATTCCAATTCCTTATATATATTTTTTTATTGTATATATCTTTTAAATATCTGTATTTTGTTTCACTTTTAAAAAGAGCCACTGGAACACAACCCTATATTCCCCAGGTTAAATAACGCTTCTGATTTTTAGGAACTAATTAGGCGCGTTCACACCGCAGTAATTTTCCCACTTTAGTTCCGAAACGTTCACACCAAAAAGAGCCGGAACTAAAATGAGTTCATGAGAACCTTTTTACCCCCTTTCCCGTCCCTGCTAGAGAGCAGGTACTTTCGTGGGAGAAAAAGGTTCCTGTGTCTGGCTGGGCGGATTGCAAACCACGCCCCGTCAAACTCCCAAAAAGTGTTGTGAAGCCGCCATTTTATTATCCTCGCATTAGCATTATTAGCATTAGCATTAGCCCAGCGCGGAAACGCAGAGAGACTAACTTATGGCAACACAAAATAAAACATGGGAGCGGTGGAGATGAGGAGGTGTCGGCGTTCTGGCGATTTACTCGGAAGGCTTCAGTAGAAACACCGTGTCCTGATTAAGCTTTAAAAAAAAAAAAGACTTCACTTCCTGTTTGAAACAATCCTCTACTTTGCAGAGGAGGAGTAACTCTTCTGATAAGAGAGACTTCTAGAGCTGCTTCCTCATCATATTGCCTCACATGCAAAATAAGGTAAGTAAGGTAAGTGCTTCATTCATTAAACTCTTTTATTATTCATGAGTCATTAATATCCAAACAAAATGGCCCCTTCAACGTTCTTATTGTTATTATTGTTGTCCTGCATTATTCATCTGTATAAGTGACTGTGGACAGGAAGGGATTCTTTGTGAATGCAAATATGGAAATGTAAATACATGTTTACTAATTAGGGTCAATAGCCTAGCAGCTAGCAGCTATTAGCATATTAGCTGTGTGCTGATTTGTCCACTAAAGACGAAAAACAGCTGCAGAAAAGGACTCTTTAAAGTAGAGACACTACATACTGATATACACCTGAACATCAGAAGGAGAGGACTCTTTAAAGTAGAGACAATACATACTGATATACACCTGCACATCAGCAGGAGAGGACTCTTTAAAGTAGAGACAATACATACTGATATACACCTGAACATCAGCAGGAGAGGACTCTTTAAAGTAGAGACAATACATACTGATATACACCTGAACATCAGCAGGAGAGGACTCTTTAAAGTAGAGACAATACATACTGATATACACCTGAACATCAGCAGGAGAAGACTCTTTAAAGTAGAGACAATACATACTGAAATACACCTGAACATCAGCAGGAGAGGACTCTTTAAAGTAGAGATACTACATACTGATATACACCTGAACATCAGCAGGAGAGGACTCTTTAAAGTAGAGACACTACATACTGATATACACCTGAACATCAGCAGGAGAGGACTCTTTAAAGTAGAATCTCTGGAATAGGACTCGTTGTTGTTGTATTGAGTCTCTGTTATAATAAAACCGTCCTCACTCTGCACACTTTCGGTTTCCAGCCTGAGGACGGCGTGTCACCTCGACTGAATTCAGATTTATCTCGGCTCATTTTCTTTTACCGGCCGCCTCTTCATCTTTTGAACTTTAATCATGGCTCAGGATAAGGAAAGGAGACCCAGGCTTTAGGACAACACTGCAGGTAACTCAGCTCACAGGTAATAAGAACTCCGTCTGCAGCACAAATCCTCTCTGAGACCTTCAATCCTGCACGATATAACCTTTCAGTGGCTCCTAGACCTAATATCACCGACAGAAATACTAGATTTATTAGTTAGCCTATGACATAAAAACAGATGAAATCAGGAAATCTCAATATTTGAAAATTTGAAAACAGCATCTTCTGCTATATTTGCTTTAGCTTAGCGGTGGTGACGTGAAGTCATGTGACCGTGCTGTAGTTCCTTTATAGCTGAACATTAGCCTCCTTTAGCTTAGCGGTGGTGACGTGAAGTCATGTGACCGTGCTGTAGTTCCTTTATTGCTCAACATTAGCCTCCTTCAGCTTAGTGGTGGTGACGTGAAGTCATGTGACCGTGCTGTAGTTCCTTTATAGCCCAACATTAGCCGCCTTTAGCTTAGCGGTGGTGACGTGAAGTCATGTGACCGTGCTGTAGTTCCTTTATAGCCCAACATTAGCCACCTTTAGCTTAGCGGTGGTGACGTGAAGTCATGTGACCGTGCTGTAGTTCCTTTATAGCCCAACATTAGCCTCCTTTAGCTTAGCGGTGGTGACGTGAAGTCATGTGACCGTGCTGTAGTTCCTTTATTGCTCAACATTAGCCTCCTTCAGCTTAGTGGTGGTGACGTGAAGTCATGTGACCGTGCTGTAGTTCCTTTATAGCCCAACATTAGCCGCCTTTAGCTTAGCGGTGGTGACGTGAAGTCATGTGACCGTGCTGTAGTTCCTTTATAGCCCAACATTAGCCACCTTTAGCTTAGCGGTGGTGACGTGAAGTCATGTGACCGTGCTGTAGTTCCTTTATAGCCCAACATTAGCCTCCTTTAGCTTAGCGGTGGTGACGTGAAGTCATGTGACCGTGCTGTAGTTCCTTTATGACCCAACATTAGCCACCTTTAGCTTAGCGGTGGTGACGTGAAGTCATGTGACCGTGCTTGTAGTTCCTTTATAGCCCAACATTAGCCTCCTTTAGCTTAGCGGAGGTGACGTGAAGTCATGTGGACCGTGCTGTAGTTCCTTTATAGCCCAACATTAGCCTCCTTTAGCTTAGCGGTGGTGACGTGAAGTTATGTGACCGTGCTGTAGTTCCTTAATAGCCCAACATTAGCCACCTTTAGCTTAGCGGTGGTGACGTGAAGTCATGTGACCGTGCTGTAGTTCCTTTATAGCCCAACCTTAGCCACCTTAGCTTAGCGGAGGTGACGTGAAGTCATGTGACTGTGCTGTAGTTCCTTTATAGCCCGACATTAGCTTTTTACTTCTGAAAAAAAAAAGTTCTGATAGATAAATTGACCCCCTCTCATGGAAACAACACTTTTCTTTGTGAAATGTCACCGAGTTGCTCCATAAAGCAGCTTCTCTGTTATTATGCAGCTTTTTATTCTGCTTCACATGTGCTCTAATGCGTCATCACGCCACAGATCTGAAAACAAACACGCAGCTTGGATCCTCGATCATACAGAGAAATATAAAGAGAGCAGATAACCCGGGGACATCTTTTACAATGTTCACAGGATCCACGGGGTGTTTGATGTTCACATATTTTACCCTCTCATGCGTATAGAGGGGTTTATATGTGTGATACGTCGCTGTATTGACGTCATCACTGAGGGTACACACACACACACACACACACACACACACTTTGATGTGAGCGTTATACATTCATGAAAAAGTGTTTTATCCAGGTGAGATTTTTTGTTTTTCTTTTATCTGACTGATATGGAGGAGGGACAATGGAAAGAGAAAGAAGAAGGGGAGCAATGGGGGGAGGGCATTTATTATATATATTGTAGTGCGAAGTGCATATTTAAACTTTAACGTCTCATTTTTAATAGAAAATATTTGTATTATATTTTATTGGAAATGTACTTTTTTCAGATTATTTAATTTAATGTTTAATTTAATGGACATTTTACATTAACTTCTTGTGTTTTTATAAATATTTGTATTATATTGAATTAAATTATATCATGTATTGGACATTTTTAATATAACTTACATTTTATATAAATAGTTGTATTATTTATTTATTCTACCTGAACTTCTAGTGTTTTTATAAATATTTTTAAATGTATTTTAATTGTATTCTTACCCAAATTAAAACAAATCTTGAGTATTGTGTTGTTGCACGTGTGAATAATTGTATTCAGTATTTCCCACAGTTCCAGAGGGTCGTCCTCTCACCTTGAACTTGTTCCCGACGCTGATGAAGCCCAGTTTTCCCGCCTTCTGCTTCATGTCTTTGCTGTTGTTTGAATTCTCGAAAAGCTCTCGGACGAAACGGTCCTTCGACTCGCTGATGAGACACTCGAGAGACATGTGCAGCGCGTCGTTGTTCTTCTCCACAAACCCGGTCTGAAAAACATTTTAAAAACAGATTAAGAAACTAAACATCATGCACTTGCAGAAAAACACTCAAATATACAATGCAGTAAGAGCTCTAGACATAATCAGTAAAACGACATCCATAGAAACTCCCATGCCACTAAGGATGTTCTAATTCAAATAATAAGGAAATCAGTGCAACAACAGTGATTTCTGACTACGTTTAAACGTGCCATCATCTCATTGGTCCGTTTCTTTACTCCTTAGGGTTTTCCACATTGCAGTAATCAAAGAAAAGCAAATACATCACTGATGTGACATTCGTTTCCTGCTGCAGGAGTTCAGTGAACGCACCGTTTCGTAGCACACGGCTCCTGCAAAGTGTCTGATAATAAATCCTTCATCGTCCCTCACGTTCCTGTGCACCGCCAGCTTAGACTTCCTGGGTACCTGAGAGAGAGACACACACACACACCAACACACACACACACACACACACACACACACACACACGTTAATTCCCACCCCGTCAATCACTCTGTGCTGGAAATGCAGATTAAGAGTCGTGTTGATTAATTTCACTTTAAGCTACAACAACATCACTCAAAACTGTATTTATGGGCTTTATTCATAAGACTAGAAACACTTATTGGTATGTCTGTATGTTGACACTTTAGTGTGTTTGAATGAAAACACATCTATTACAAATGAACCTTGGCAATTCAGTTATTGCTGGAAAAACAAGAATAAAAACCACGAAGCACTTGTCGAGTGAATTTGAAGCTGGGACTCAATATATCTGCATGTTCCTTGTTGTTCACAGTTTGAATCTTTATTGTTAAGTCGCTTTGGATCAAAGCGTCAGCGAAATGAAACGTAATGTGAACATGTGTGAAATCATCTCATTTCTGTGACCTGTATGAGTCTCTGCCTCCTAATCAGCTTTAATTTAACCCTAAATATATTACATTTAGATATTTATATTAATGCTGTCAAAATTATCGCGTTAACGGCGGTAATTAATTTTTTGAATTAATTGCGTTAAAATATTTAACGCATTTAACGCATGTGCAGAATGGCCCGCCCCATACGTGCCACCAGTGGCAGCGCCAGGGTCTGGCTGGGGTAGGCTACACCCATACCAAGAAATGGCTTAGCCCCACCATGACAAATGATGTTAAAGGAAGCAAAATAAAGTCCTTCAACTCGCGCGGAAGAAGTAAAATTGCACAGACAGCCGTTAGTCAGATTGATTTTCAGCCACTTGTCTGGAAATACCGAAGACTAGAAACGGTTTTGAAAACTTTTGTCACGTAGTGATCGTCTTCTCAATAGAACATCTTTGATAATGTCTTCTGGCCAATCAGAATCAAGATAACGGCGTGGTGTTGTTGCAGGAAGTCCCGACGGAGAATACTTTTGCTGTAGTACATCTCTATACACATCGATACAACATTACGTGTTGATAGAAATCAACACGTAATGAAACGAGACCCCGGTTTGATGATTGATAGGTGTGTGGGCTGACTTTCATTTTGACACACAGAACAATGTTATAATAAACATAGATACTGTATGTTAAATGGATATATCCGCCTTCTTTCATTTATCTTTCCATTCCCACAACAATATACATAAAGAAATGGCATATTTTGGACATAGTTCGAATGGTGATTAATCTGATTCATTCATTTTTAAACTGCGATTAATCTGATTAACATTTTTAATCGTTTGACAGCCCTAATTTATATATATTTGTTTATACTTTTCCCTGTGGTCTTTACAGATTTGAGAGCGACTTAACTCATTGGTTTCTCAACGTAACTACACCAGACTGACCACTAGAATCAGTCCCATTCAGGAAGAGGACTTCTGTCAGTTATCATTCTCGGTCCCAGCAATACGAAACTGGAAGTCTCGACCAACTCAAATCAAAGACAAACATATCCCACATTTACAGCTCACTTAAAAACATGTGTGTTACATGTTGTGATCGTGGACCCCTGGTTGCTATATGTGACATGTATGTAACGTGTGCATTTTATCCTTCTCTTGTATCCTTTCGCCTCTATCCACTTCTCTCTCATCCTTTCTTTATAACTAATGCTGTTGATGTGATTTTAAAAAGGTGTCTGTTATCATCTGGAAATGAGCAATGTTGGCTAAAGCTGCTCCATTTACAGTTCTTTCTGACAGTTTCAACGGGGACTGTCCAGGACACCATAAACAAATACTCTACACTAAACTCACGGTGAGGCGGAAGTGGTTCTTGTGCTTGTTGTGCACGGTGTCGGTGAAGTGCTGGTCGCTGGGCTGAGGGAGGCGGTTCTCCTCGTCCAGGATGTCCAGCACGCCCACCATCTTCGCCTCCACCAGATCTGTGCAGGGAAACAGGAGAAGCATCAAATGTCTTCGTCCAAGACCACAGTCAAGAAAGCAAAGATGCAAGTGATCGTCAAGTTCCATTACACGGCAGGAAAGGGACAAGTCCTTAAAGACCTGAGTAAAGACCAACAAGTCCTAATTAAAGACCTGAGTAAAGACCAACAAGTCCCAATTAAAGACCTGAGTAAAGACCAACAAGTCCCAATTAGAAATAAGCTATTTGTGACTTTCAGAACTACAAGACCCAAAACAAGACTACAAAAAGCCAAGTCTCACATTCAGATCCAAAAGTTATTTACAGTCAAGGTCAACAAGTTCCATGTTATGTCCCAATTAAAGACCTGAGTAAAGACCAACAAGTACGAAATTGGAGACGAGTCCCACGTCAAGACAGACAGAAAAGTAATTTACCAAATTGAGACAAGTTGCCTAAAAAATACAGACAAGTCAAAAGTCCCAGTTAAAAGCTCAGTAGTTTTGTGACTTTCAGAACTGCAAGACCCAAACCATCTCTGGAAGAGTCCAGTTACGAGTCACGTCTCATGTCAAGACCAGAAACCAGAAACAAGATCTAAAAGTCAGAGGTCAGTACCAGAGTCAAGGTTCACACCAAGTACCATGTACAAGTTTAGAAGGTCAAGTCCCACATAAAGTCACATGTCAAAACCACAAAGTCCCAATCTAAACAACCAGTCCTGCCAAGTTAAGAACTGGAAAAACCCCAAACAAGACGATTAGCACAATGTCCTATAACAAGACCAACGAGTCCCGAATAAAAACAGATTGTAAAGTTGGTCCTAAAGCAGCACCAAGCTGAGTTACTGGTAGTTTCATAATGCATGATGCACAGATGGTGCTAAATAAATAACCATTTCCAAATGTGTTTTGTGCAGACAGGATATTTTCCATTAGTTTCCAATCTTTGCTAACATTTCTACTTTGTCTTGCACGCAGTCATGTCTCTCCTGTCTGTACAGATTTAATTCTCTGCTACATAAAGTGCGCTGTTAATGTCCTCTCTGCTGTTTGTGTGGACAGAGTAGCTGCTAATCGAACAAACATCCCAGTGATCCAGTTCATCGGGTCAGTGACCACAGCTCAGAGCTACAGACTGTATTAAAGCATCTAATCTCGATGCCGTTCAACAGAGCTGGACATCAAGCAAAAAGCATAATTAAACCTCCTTCAATCTGTAATCCCCCTCACGTCCATCTGCCTCCGTGTTTATGAAGACACGTTGCAGGCAGGCAGGAGGTCACATGCTCTTTGCTTTGTCTGTTCATGACACAGCGAAGAGGCTCGGAGGTCAAAACTGTGTAGAGGGCTCCGAGCCAGCAGTACATTAAGAGCCATCATGAGAAGCACTCTGCTGTTAGGGGCTTGTAAACACAACTTCTACTCATGGGTAGCTCCACAAGATTGGAAAAAGGAAATAAAAGCAGGGCTTCACAAAGCAGGAGCATTGGAAGTTATAGAGATTAGGTGAAGTCAGACTTAAATATCAGATTGATATTAAAGTCCAAAGTCAACCTCCAAGACTTTAGGACACCAAACTGTTGAAGTTCTGGTTCAATGGAAATACTTTTAAGTCCCAAAAACACCAACTAGTAGAAAGTAAAAACAGGGGAAGTACCAAGTCAAAACTGAGAGTACGGACCAGCAATCTAACAACAGGACAGGAAGGTCAGCAAGACTAACAAGCCCTGATTGAAGACAAGTCCAAAAGTCCCAGGTCAAGACTTCTGTTAGGGGCTCGTTGCCACAAACTTCTGCTCATAGATAGCTCTAGAACAGGGGATATGGGCAAATGGCTGCCCTCAGATTAATTTATCACAACGTAATTAATTAAAAAAAAAAAAATATATATTTTATTTCTTACTTGTAGTACTGATACCGTCCCTAGACTCCTAGTTACGTCGTTCGGCAGCCAAATACCGCAAGTAATCTGTGAGGCGTTTGTGTGTATTGTGTTTGTTTCCCTGGAAACCCTCACAAAGAAACCCCGGCTGTTGTTACGCCTGCTGTGACGTTGAGTTGCCGCTTGTAATTATGCCGAAGCTTCAAAGCTGTATTTATCATCTGAATTTGGCGAAACAAGTTTAATATTCTGAAAGCCAAGACTTTGTTTAATTGAAATCAGATGAAAACCAACTGTCACGGACCCTGCCGTGTTATCTATGATTACTACACCTTGCATTCATCATGTCAGCGGGAGGGAGGGGAGCGGCGCAGCGGAACAGCAGAGTGCGCGAGGGAGGGGGAGCGGCGCAGCGGAACAGCAGAGGGGAGGGAGGGGGAGCGGCGCAGAGGAAAGCAGAGCGGAGGGAGGGGGAGGGAGAGGGGGTAGAGGCGGCGAGAAAAGCAGAGTGCGGAGGGAGGGGGAGCGGCGCAGAGGAACAGCAGAGTGCGCGAGGGGGAGGGGGAGCGGCGCAGAGGAACAGCAGAGTGCGGGAGGGAGGGGGAGCGGCGCAGAGGAACAGCAGAGCAGAGTGCGGGAGGGAGGGGGAGCGGCGCAGAGGAACAGCAGAGTGCGCGAGGGAGGGGAGCGGCGCAGCGGAACAGCAGAGCGAGAGGGAGGGGGAGCGGCGCAGCGGAACAGCAGAGTGCGGGAGGGAGGGGGAGCGGCGCAGAGGAACAGCAGAGTGCGGGAGGGAGGGGGAGCGGCGCAGAGGAACAGCAGAGTGTGGGAGGGAGGGGGAGCGGCGCAGAGGAACAGCAGAGTGCGCGAGGGAGGGGGGAGCGGCGCAGAGGAACAGCAGAGTGCGGGAGGGAGGGAGGGGCGGCGCGCGCAGAGGAACAGCAGAGTACGGGAGGGGGGGGGAGCGGCGCAGAGGAACAGCAGAGTGCGGGAGCGGCGCAGAGGAACAGCAGAGTGCGGGAGGGAGGGGGGAGCGGCGCTGAGGAACAGCAGAGTGCGGGAGGGAGGGGGAGCGGCGCAGAGGAACAGCAGAGTGCGCGAGGGAGGGGGGAGCGGCGCAGAGGAACAGCAGAGTACGAGAGGGAGGGGGAGAGCGCGTGCAGAGCGCAGAGGAACAGCAGAAGGGGGAGCGGCGCAGAGGAACAGCAGAGTGCGGGAGGGAGGGGGGGGAGCGGCGCTGAGGAACAGCAGAGTGCGGAAGGGAGGGGGAGCGGCGCAGAGGAACGCAGAGTGAGGGAGGGAGGGGGAGCGGCGCAGAGGAACAGCAGAGTGCGGGAGGGGGGGGAGCGGCGCTGAGGAACAGCAGAGTGCGCGAGGGAGGGGGAGCGGCGCTGAGGAACAGCAGAGTGCGGAAGGGAGGGGGAGCGGCGCAGGGAACAGCAGAGTGCGGGAGGGAGGGGGAGCGGCGCAGAGGAACAGCAGAGTGCGGGAGGGAGGGGGGGAGCGGCGCTTGAGGAACAGCAGAGTTGCGCGAGGGAGGGGGAGCGGCGCAGAGGAACAGCAGAGTGCGGGAGGGAGGGGGAGCGGCGCAGAGGAACAGCGAGTGCGGGAGGGAGGGGGAGCGGGCGCTGAGGAACAGCAGAGTGCGGGTTGACCGGTGTCTGTGTGGACACTCCCCTTATTGTGCATCAGCAGAGGCTACAAATGCCTAGGTTCAAGTTAGTCGACTAACGTCTGGGTTAGTGTTCATGGACTTCATGTGTATGTCATCTAATGGTTCATCTCAATGCACACACATTTTTCCGTCCTTTCCAATAATTAAATAGTTTTATTCCACTGTTTAATAAACCCGTTCAACACCAAACATGCCACTTCTAAAAATTAAATAACGTTTCTGTGAACTGATATTTGTTCAGTGAGCTTAGTAGAGGATGTTCCCTTTGATTGTAAAAATGTCAATGAAGACGTCAGACTTAGTATATTTGTTAATAATTACATACAACACATGGAATTTGTGTGTGTGTGTGTTTCCAAGTGAATCTGCGGCCCCCCTGGTGGCCAGTACATACATTCTGTGGCCCCCACCATCATCCAAGTTGCCCATCACTGCTCTAGAAGATAGAAAAGACACTCAAGAACTCTTTATCTGAGAAAGTTATAAAGATTAGGTGAAGACAGACTTAAATATTGGCAGATCAAATATCAGACAGATCAAGATTAAAGTCCAAGTTCAAAGACTTTTAGGACCAAACAGTTTGAAGTTCGGGTTCAAGTCGAAGACCTTTAAGTCCTAAGAACACCAGTACCAGAAGTACCACATTACGTCTGAAGTAAAAACAAGATCTACAGATCCGGGGTCAAGGTCTAAAAGAAGTCCGGAGTAAAGACCAAGAAGACCAGGACAGAAAGGGGGGACTCAACCCCAACAAGTCCCAATTTACCAGTTAAGGCAGAACAGAAAGGGTAACATCAGGAAGTAGAGTAAACACTGACAAGTACAAAATACCCCAGGTTAAGATCTAGAAGACAGGAAGGCTGCAAGACTAACAAAAGTCCCAGTTTATTTATATGTATTGAGACTTCTTGCACTATTTTTATTTATTATATATGTTATTGTTTGAGGAGCTCAGGTCAGAAGAATTTCATTGCCATTTCTACACTGTAGCTTTGAGCATATGACGATTTATAAAACCTTTGAATCTTTAAGACAGGAAGGATGTCAAGTTAAGAACAACCCAAAACAAGACTAGGAAGTCACAAATCCAGTCCAGTCCTACGTCAGAGGGAACAGTTGAAGTTTCACGGTAAAAAACCCTGGTTTTAATGTGTGGTTAGGAGTCGAGTGTTTGTCTAGCGGCTGTTTGTTATTGACCTTACACATGATTAAACAATCCCAGACACATCATCAGTCTGGTTCTCCGAGCTGCTCTGAGTGCTCTGCGTCTTCTTACCTATGCAGTCCTGGTTGTCGACGTAGTGGACCTCGTTGACTCCGAGACCCTCCCTGTGGTACAGCTCTTGCTCCTGGAATACAGCGGACAGGGTTTATAATGAGAAGCCTTAACGATGTGCTCTGCTAACGAGCAGCAGGGCGAGTCTGCGCTTCAGCCTCTTCCCGCTCTCTGCTTGTCACGCTTTCAGGCAAGTGAGATTAAGGTGCTTCATGCTCCACAGAGTTATCCGTTAAGGTGGCAAATATATTCAAATGATGGGTTTAGGCTCAAATGAGACGTCTAACATTTGGAGACAGGAGGTCAAAAGACGATCAGAGTGAACGTCCAAAATATCGTTACGGTTTTAATGATAGTTCAAGAAGTTCAAAACAGGTCCAGTGATCAGGTGTATTTGTAAATTATCTAAAACTTAAACTTGTAGTTTAATAGAAGAAAAACCGTGATTTTAGGAGTCTAATTATATAGAGGCGAAAGTCCCTCCCTTTCCGATGTAAGCTCCATGGGACCTTATTTCTGAAAAAAAGTATGCATTGAAGTCAATGGAGAGAGAAAGATTATCTTCGATCCCGTTTGAATTGTGCCACAAATTACACATATGATGTTTGTCAATTTAAAGATAATTTTGCAAGTCAAGAAATGTAGAAGTCGTTAAACTGTGAAGTAACACTTTCTTTGTGTGAACCGCTCAATGAACTACATCTCCCGTCTCGCTCCACACACCCCAGACGGCCGTCACGTTGGAACATTTCACTTCTTTCTCTCAGAACGAGGCGGAAAGTATTAAAAGAGGTGAAAATCACTCCAAGTCTGGGGCTCGTTGAGAGCTGTGCATTACACACAAGGGGAGTTAGTCGGTTCCTGAGAGCCAGCACTGCGGGACCGGGACTCTGGGATCTGTAGTCTTTCTAGTTGTGTATTTTTCATAGTCTTATATTTCAACAGTTTTACGACAAACTGACTTTTTTGACATGGAAATTATTATTTAAGATTGACAAACATCATGTGTGTAATTCGTGGCACAATTCAAACGGGATCGAGAGATCATCTTTCTCTCTCCATCGACTTCAATACATACTTTTTGCGAAATAAGGTCCCATGAGTCCCACCGGAAGGGGAGGGACTTCGCCTCTCTATTCGAGGAAACAAACATTTATCTGTTTGGGCGAGAGTTCAAGATGAGGAGTTTAGGGTCAAATGAGGCGTCTAGCATTTGGAGAAAATAGTCAACAAGACGATCAGAACGACTGTCCGAAATGTCGTTAAGGTTTTAATGATGCTTCATGTTTAAGAGGTTCAAACAGGTCTGGCTCCAGTGATCAGATACTTATGTAGAGATAATGTTTTCAAACTGTAATTGAACTAACAGTGACATTTCAGACCTCGGTGTCGTCAACTTAGCAGCGTTTTCTTGTCTAATTGTATTAGAAAAAGGCGGCTTTTATGCACGATGTTACTGACAGATACATCTGTTTGGCGAGAGTACGAGATGAGGAGTTTTAGGGTCAAATGCATTTGGGGAAAGGAGGTAAAAAGACGATCAAAATGAACGTCCAAAATACCATTACAGTTTTAATGATGCTTCATGTTTAAGAAGTTCAAACAGGTCTACAGTGATCAGATACTTATGTAGAGTTAATGATTTCAAACTGTAATTTAACAAAACATTTCAGACCTTGGTGTCGTGAACTGAGCTGTGTTTTTATTACATTTTGTTCGTCTAATGATATTAGAAGTGGTGGCTTTAATGCACGATGTTACTGACAGATACATCTGTTTGGGCGCCAACATCTCCGAGTACGAAAACAAGACAACACTGACATTTCAGACCTCGTTGTCGTCAGCTGAGCTGCATATGTCTTCATGTTTGTGAGTCCAACGCTCTCCAGACAGAAGTGAAATTATATTAGCAGTGGCGGCTTTTATGCACGATGTCACGGACAGATACATCTGTTTGGGCGAGTACGAGATGAGGAGTTTAGGGTCAAATGAGGCGTCTAACATTTGGAGAATAAAAGGCAACAAGACGATCAGAACGACCGTCCGAAATACCGTTACGGTTTTAATGATGCTTCATGTTTAAGAAGTTCAAACAGGTCTGGCTCCAGTGATCAGATACTTATGTAGAGTTCATGTTTTCAAACTGTAATTGAACTAACAGTGACATTTCAGACCTCGGTGTCGTCAACTTAGCAGCGTTTTCGTCAATTTTGTGAGTCTAATTATATTAGAAAAAGGCGGCTTTTATGCACGATGTCACGGACAGATACATCTGTTTGGGCGAGTACGAGATGAGGAGTTTAGGGTCAAATGAGGCGTCTAACATTTGGAGAATAAAAGGCAACAAGACGATCAAAAGGAACGTCCAAAATATCGTTAAGAAGAACAGGTATGGCTCCAGTGATCAGGAGTAATTGATCAGTGGCTCTGGTTCGGTCAACGGAGCAGCATTTATTTTTCTTCCGTGAGTCCAAAGCTCTCCACACAGCAGTGAAATGATTATAGATGCTGCAGCTTTCTGAGCACTCGACTGCCTTCTGGTTCGTTATGTGAATACCCGGAGTTTACAGAGAAATGATATATCGAGCATCATTATTTTCAAAAAGACGGCCTGTAATGATGTTTGGGGGCTGAAGACGTCTGGAGAGTTTCCTCTGACTATAAAAGACCCAAAGTTAACAGAAAGCAACAACAACTCTCTTCACTTCATTCTGCAGCTTGATTTTCATCTAAAAAGGTATTATTTTCAAACAGAAACACACTCCCAGGAAGGAACCATGCTGGCTTTCATTGAGATAAACAGTAATCAGTGAAATGTGCACTTTCAAAAAAAATGTTTTGGGTGGAAAATCTTCTTAAAAAGTGTCGAAGCTTTTACTCGGCAGAATGTGGAGGAGGGACACGCTGTGACTGTGACACGCCGTGACTCTGACACGCTGTGACTGTGACACGCCGTGACTCTGACACGCTGTGACTGTGACACGCCGTGACTGTGACACGCCGTGACTCTGACACGCTGTGACTGTGACACGCCGTGACTCTGACACGCCGTGACTCTGACACGCTGTGACTGTGACACGCCGTGACTCTGACACGCCGTGACTGTGACACGCCGTGACTCTGACACGCTGTGACTGTGACACGCTGTGACTCTGACCCACAGACCTCACCTCTTTCAGGATGCGCTCGTTGAAGAACTGCTGCAGCTTCTCGTTGCAGTAGTTGATGCAGAACTGCTCGAAGCTGTTGTGTTCAAAGTACTCTGCAGGAACATCAGAGAGTTAGAGAGGCTGCAAAGCACTCAGAAGATCTTAGGAAAGCACAGCGTGAAGGCTCTTTCAGTGTCCTTCTCTCATCTTATTGCAGTTCTGATATTTGTTTCTGCTTCTACTAGTCCATCCATTCCTGCAACAGGACTGTGTGCATTAATAACTGTACTGCTGTCACATGGCACACTTCATCCTGCACGGCTACACTTATAAATACTTCTGCTACGTGTCTACTTGAATGTCAAAGCTGCCTCTTTAATTCTATATGGTCACTGTTACGGCCGCCGCCTCCTCTCTGCCCAGTAGCCTTTCTCTAAGTGTCTGCAGCTGTGTGTTATATGTATATGAGCCGTGCCGTTGCCCTGACGCCATTGGACGCCAGCTTCCTGTCCCTCCCCGGTAGGCGTGACCGAAGATCTGGACTCTCCAATCCCCGCACATACCTCCCGGGGAAGACACAGGCCGTTTCTCAATGTCGAGTAAGCATGCTGCAGAGCCACTATTTCAAGTATACTACGTCATCGAGTGGCCGAAGGACTGTTTCAATGCCCAGCATTCGGCGCCACTCGATGATGTAGTATACTTGAAATAGTGGCTCTGCAGCCGGTGTACTCCACATTGAGAAACGGCCGATGTGTGCACCTCAGTTAGTCGAGAGAGGTCTGAATCTGTGGCAGACGTCTCTCGGTACTCTCTCCGTATATTCTGTGCTAGTTCTGTTAACGGCGGTTAAATAGGTTGCGTGAGTATTTGTGTTTGTACTTGTTGTAACTGTCTTCACTCTCTTATGTGCAACATTAATAGGGGCGGAACTAATCTGCGGTGTTTTGTGTTACACCTGTTTGTTTAATCGACGCACTTGACTGCAGAGCAACGCAGAATGTAAATAAAATCTAAGGAAACTAATGGGAAAATGCAGTTAAAGATATCAGCCCCTCTAGATGACTAGCAGCCTACGAGGTACGTTTTTGTGCTGGTTGTTTGTCTAAATGTGTGTGGTTGAGCTGCAGGTTATATGTATGTGTGCTATGCGCTAGCTTGTGCTACATGCTATTGTTAGCTTGTGCTACTTGCTGTGTGGGATATGTGTGCCGTTTATTGTTTTATTTAGCGGCATTAACAGTGATGACATGCATATATTACATATTCATTTATTATTTACCTTTTTATATATTTGTTTGTCTTACAGTTCTCACGGGATGGAATAGGTCCCACAAGAATAAACCCCGTATTTAATCCAGACCTCAGCCTCGTGTCATTTACTGGAGGGAGCTACACTTGTCACTGTTCATCTTAAAGAACAACGTTAGCTGTGTTTAACTCGTCTCCAGGCTGTGTTCCATAACAGCCTATTTGTGTTCTTCTTCCCACTTTAGAAGTGAGGTTTTCTTTTGTTTATTTGTCTGTTAGCTATTTTGTTTGTCTAAAACTTGTCAACTCTTAGAGTCTCCCTTAGTTCTTTTTGTTTTGATTGTTTGGTGCCAATTTTACTGAGCCCTTTTCAGTAAACAACTTCCAATTCCAACTGGTTATGTTATTTTCCCCGAGCCGGGACGTAACAGTCACTATATTTAAAACAAATCGATGTTAAGCTTAAACCGTGCTATCTTGTTTTCTTGTGTTCTCTATTAATATGAAAGATTAAAGTCATTTTTTAACCTGCAAGACTATTCTCCCCTCTTCATGCTGCTGTAACAGAGTAAAGTCCTCTTAGTGGGACGAATAAAGGGAACCTGACTTTGATTTTCGGACACTTACCAAATCCGGCGATGTCGAGGACCCCGATGAAGTTGGCGGAGGATTGGAAGGGGAAGCACTGGTTGGCGCGCGTCACCACGTGGTCGAACAGCCGGCTGTAAACCGCCTTCGCCAGCGCGTCGCGGGCGTTGTTCGCCTGCTCCACCTTCAGAGGAACTCTTTAAAACACAGGAGGAAGAGGAGGGTCAGAGAGAGGATTTACAGGAGAGGAGAGAGAAGTACACACACCTAGGGATGCATATCGTTGACTTTTTTACGATACCGATACCACTGAACGATACCGATACTCAACCGATACTTATCGTGATACTTTGAAAATGTATCATCCCACAATTACTCCCATGAAGCGCTTTACGCAGAGGCGAACCGTCAGGACCTTCAAGGTGTTCAGAGAACACCCTGGAACACTCAGATAAAACAAACAAAAAATCAATTTAATTATATAAATAAAATGAATAAATGAGAATGGTATCCATGTTGTTGATCTGTAATATCACAGTGTTACGTTGATGTGTTTGTCCTTCTCGGACCATGCTCTACGCATTTCAGTGGTTTTGTGTTGGAAAAGAAAGCAACCAATCAGATCTTGTTCTGGGTCTCTGGGTAGAATATCCTTCACCAAGGTATTCTACATCCTTGATCGAAGGTCCTGGCCGTTGCACTGAATGAGAGCGTACGTTTGGACTGACAGTTTGATCAACCAATCATATATTGATTTGTAGCCAATGGGCGTGTTCTTTCAGAGTTCCCCTCGGTTCCAGGGTGTTCTAGAAGGCCCGCTAGTTAACTGGCTCGAGACAGAGGATCTATGAATGCGACGAAGCAATTCATGCCGTCTTATTATTTTTAACGTTGAAATGACAAGTGCAACAGGTGGAGATTAAGTTGTTGCGGAATTGTTGTGAGTACTTTTCAAGACGACAATTCAGTGAAAAGACGGACATTATAACGCCGCGGAGGGGGGGTGTGTGTGTGTCTACAGAAGGTCCAGTTGTGATAGACACGGTTCGCCACTGGCTTTACGATATAGTTAACATGTCAAATGAATATTAAATTCAATTGTGGGACTTCTTGGACCTTTTAGTTCTGAACAAACAATGAAAAATACATTAAAAATATGAAGAAAACCGATTAAGGAATATCTTTTATAACACATCAGGTGTGCCGCGTGAATAGCACATCCTGTCAATGCAAACAGACCGTTATAGCACCGTTATAATTAATGTTAAACCTGAGATTCGACTAGAGAACAAATACATCATAGAATAATGGTCATGAGATCTCGGCATTGCACAAACAAACAAATCTCATCTTTAAATCAACATTTGCCTTCACTGGTGAGAGAAAACAAATCCCATCACAGTTCATTTGTGGGACTTTTACCTTTCTAGTATTGAACAAACAAAAATACATAAAATATGAAGAAAAACGATTATGCAATCTAATTTATAACACCCGCCATCACGGGCCACGGACTCACTTTGAAAATTAAATATTTAATTATTTAAAAAAAATTAAAATGTAAAGTATCGAAACCGGATCTGATTTCGGTACGGTATACCGTAGCCACCAGTAACCGGTATTTCGGTAATACCGGATACTGGTATGCATCCCTACACACACCCTTTACTCAAGTAGAAAGTACAGGTATTAGTGTTCAACATGTAAGAAGTAGAAAGTACAGGTATTTGGGTTCAACATGTAAGAAGTAGAAAGTACAGGTATTTGTGTACAACATGTAAGAAGTAGAAAGTACAGGTATTTGTGTTCAACATGTAAGAAGTAGAAAGTACAGGTATTTGGGTTCAACATGTAAGAAGTAGAAAGTACAGGTATTTGAGTTCAACATGTAAGAAGTAGAAAGTACAGGTATTTGAGTTCAACATGTAAGAAGTAGAAAGTACAGGTATTTGAGTTCAACATGTAAGAAGTAGAAAGTACAGGTATTTGAGTTCAACATGTAAGAAGTCAAAGTAAAAAGTTGTAGTAAAAAGTTGTAGTAAAGGTACTGCTCAGTAAAGTACTGATAGAAAATACCTTTGAAGGCAAGTGTTCATTATCCTTGCATCCTGTTTAGATATAACTGCACTTCCACTAGTTCATTAGTCATATATAAGGTTTCATTTAAAAGCAGAATACTTTTTTATCAAAAGGGTAAATCAGCATTAATTAGTTGCTCAATTTAGGGGATTAAAATACTTAAATAAACACTAGGGATGTAACGATACCAAAATCTCACGGTACGATAATATCGCGATATTGAATAATAAAGGGAAAAAATGTAAAAAAAATAATTAGATTTTTTTTTTTTTTTTAATGTTTTACTTGGAAAAATGTTATTTATTAATAATACATGTGATTTGTACAGCATTTTAGTAGGATAGCAGTATTTTAAAGTTACAGTAACAGACTGGAACAAGAAAGAAAATAAACTAGTACTACCAAAAGTAGGCATTTTCTTTGTGCCACTGCATCTCACAAATAAACAAGGACATTTAATAATCAGACCCCGCAACAAAATAAATCAAGTTTCACTTTAGTTTTTCAAGTAACTCAACTCTAACTCACTAAGTCACTCGCTCACTCACTCACTAAGTCACTCGCTCACTCACTCACTAAGTCACTCACTCACTCACTAAGTCACTCACTCACTCACTAAGTCACTCACTCACTAAGTCACTCGCTCACTAAGTCACTCGCTCACTCACTCACTAAGTCACTCACTCACTAAGTCACTCACTCACTAAGTCACTCACTCACTAAGTCACTCACTCACTAAGTCACTCACTCACTAACTCACTCACTCACTAACTCACTAAGTCACTCACTAAGTCACTCGCTCACTAAGTCACTCACTCACTCACTCACTCACTAAGTCACTCACTCACTAAGTCACTCACTCACTAAGTCACTCACTCACTAAGTCACTCACTCACTAAGTCACTCACTCACTAAGTCACTCACTCACTCACTAAGTCACTAAGTCACTCACTCACTAAGTCACTCACTAAGTCACTAAGTCACTCACTCACTCACTAAGTCACTCACTCACTCACTCACTAGCTCCACTTGCTTGGAACAATCTTCAGCAAGAATTGAAACTGAGCAATCTCATTCCTCTGCATGTTTTTAAAGCTAGGCTAAATGAAATGCTCGTTGATACTATGGCCACTTGTAAATGTCTATAACTATGTAAATGTGTCCTGTAAATATAATGTATGATGTCCTTTATTGTTTTATGTTTCATGTGGAACCTATATGCTGCAGGTCTCCCTTGAAAAAGAGATCTATGACCTCAATGGGACCAATCTGGTTAAATAAAGGTTTGAAATGAAGTTGTCTATTTTCAGTCATCTGATGAAGACGAAGGAAATGTTTCTGTGAAGTTTGTATTATGGATGAATTTAAATGAATATTGTGGTAATGGATCTTTCACAGAAAATACATTTACTTTTATCCCACTTTATATAATTGCATGTCTGAAATGAAATGAAATGAACAATGACGGAGAAATATGAAAGCATGCTGTCATTTTGACAGATGAGAACAAACACGGAACAGCGCCAAAGTTTCCCCGCAGCGAGGCTCCGGTGTTTGCCTCCAAAAGGAAATGATACAGTTTCAAACCGCACTTTGCCAGATCATTGAAATGTCTGGGAGTTGGCTTTACGCCGTGCGCGCTCCCGCGAGGTGCGGCATAAACAGAAAGTATGTGCAGTACAAAGATCTAATTAAAATAGAATCATTATTTATATGAACACAAAAAAAGTAGAGGTTGTTTTTTCGACAAATAGCAATGACTAAATAGTGCGGACACATTCATTTATTAAACGTGAGCAGATTGGCAGGGAACTAAAGACACACTCATGACTTCCTGCAGAGTCTGATCTGTGTTTTGGACGGCTCTACAAAACAAGACATGTACCTTTCTGTGCTCTGGGAGATCTGCATTTCATTCACAACGTCGTGAAAAAGCCTGACGTATATCTGTGGAACAATGACTGCACTGAATGCAAACACTGGGACTGAGAGAGGAGTGGAGGAGTGACTCTGCAGCAGATCATTGTGTATCGACAGCAGGAGAGAGACGTGTCTTCAGAGAGCGCTTTGCAGGTATTGTAATTGCTTCTGACTGCGTGAGAGAGCACGGTTCAATAGCTGCAGACACAAGGAGATGACCCGACCGCGGGGGCAAGAGAAAGGGAATTCATCTGAAGTTTGTGCAGCTGCAGTGCGGAGGAACGCTCTGAGAGACACAGCATCTCCTCTGCTCATAGGAAGGGAACACAGGTCTGAGAACGGTGTGTTTTCACACTGATGAGGGGGACGTGCAATCATGCAGCCTTTAAAGATATTTTTTATTTATTCTTAAGACGAAAACGGTTATTAGTTTTAGTCACATTTTAGTCCTTTTTATCCTTCATAGTTTTAGTCTAGTTTTAGTCGACGAAAATCATTACATTTAGTCAACCTTTCATCAAAATGTTTCTCTCTTTAAACTAATTCAGTTCGGCAAACACAGGAATCTGAAATCTGCATCAAGTGTTGAAATTCATAAAGCAACATTTCACTCTCTAACACTTCACTTGTGTAATATCTAGGGACGGTATCGTTATGGTTTTTAACGGTACTACTACTCTTAAAAATCTGTGTTCACGCCGCTGCAGCGTGTCTGTGAGGCCCCGCCCCTGCACACAGAGACAGAGTGAGGCCCCGCCCCCCGCACACAGAAAGACAGAGAGAAAGAGAGGACACGCCCCCCGCACACAGAGAGAGAGAGGCCCCGCACACAGAGAGAGAGAGTTAGGCCCCGCCCCCCGCACACAGGCCAGACACAGGGAGATCGCTCTTCTGGAGTGAAGAGAGCGGAAATAATGATATAGCAAGTTAGAAACGTAAGATGCATTTTGACAGACAAGACGGACACTTGGGGGAAATACCCTATTTTGAAAGTCCGGTCGTCCACCATTAACACCTTAGTCCTGTCTCGTCAACGAAACTAAATATACATTTCGTCGTAGTTTTTATTATCAATAATCTATTTTCAGCGCGTCGTCGTCTCGTCTTAGTCGTGACGAAATTAAGCAGCAGCTTCAAGAAACATCTGCAGCAACAACACATGCAGCGTTTAGAGAACATCCAGCAGCTTGAGGAGACA